TTTTTCTAAGGTTTTTTACTTTTTTTTAAAATCCAGGTTAAAAAGTGCATTTTGGATCATTATTGCACACTTTGACCCCTATTTTCTAGGAATTTCCACAGTAAAAGTGAATGTGACTTTGCACAATAATAGAGGGCTTCACAGTGAACAAGTGTGCAGTGAAAGCTTTTTCTAAGGTTTTTTATGTATAAAAAAAGAATCATGTTAAAAAATGCATTGTGGCGGCCCATCCCCGCGGCTTCGCTTTCCTGTGTTACCGTAAGTAACAGCATAATGTGACACCCCTCTTTTTACGTGCGGACCTCTTTACCGCTGGTTCTGGAAAGCCGGACCTCTTTACCGCGGTACTAAAGCATAGATACAGGCCTGCAACGTAGGGTGCATTAAATGCCAACTTTGGTAGAACTTAAGTACTCATTGTGTCTGCATTTTGTCTTTTTGGTACATTTCAGTGAAATTTGAATACTTGCCTTTAAATTTATTTTTTACTTGTATTATTCTATTTCTTGATTACTGGGATGGGTACTTCTTGTGTCTGGTCCTAATTTAATCCAGGTATTAATATCTGGTTATTACAGATTATATTATGGTCATTACCCACTAAAGTCATGAATTAGGGCTACACATACAATATCAATAGTGATCTCACTGTACGATATTTATCGCTATATTGTGAATAAGCTTAAGTCAGGAACATCCATGCAGTTAGATAATATTTGTTCACTGACATTATGGTGTATTATTTATGTGCAATGCTCATGTCAGAAGCAACCAACTGTTTGTCTTCCTTATCTTCGTTGTTCTTATTGTCTATGAATCTATAGACTATATATATGACGTATGGAATATGATGACATGGACAATACAAATTGTGAACAATTGTCCTGGAGTCACACGCTATGCATTCATACATACATGATCAGACTTTCTTGTTTTGTAAACTTTTCATGGTTTGCAGGGTGACTGCGCTTGTTGCTTGTGTTTTCCGTACCATGCTGCAGTGACAGGTTGTCCACCATTGTCTTAGTAACATCTTTGAACATGGCCAAACCAAAATGCTCCCAAACATCTGCCTAAAAGTTGCAGGTGTTGCCATGTCCCTGTTGTTGCAGATGATTATGGTTGAAGCAGTTTACAATGTTTTCACCTTCCAGATTGTCTTTCTAATAGTTCTATCTGTGTATTTATAGATTCTAACCTCTTGAATATATTTTGTTATGCATGATGAGCAGCTTTTTGTTCTGTTTTTCTTTTTTTTTTAACAGCTACTTTGCCATTTTAATACTCTAACACAACAACAATTTCAAGGCACTTTTAGTACCACAGTATTGAAATATCGTCAATATCATTACAATATCTTTCCAATGTGAAAAGTCTACCTGTCAGGCTATCAATAGTTTTCTTTTGTGCATTTGAACTGTTTTGTGAAGCACTTACTGACATCCTTCAATCTGAAAGGTGCTTTGCTGGTCTGTTTCCATGGTAATGATGTTATTTTTCTGTTCCATAGGGGGTTTGTTCGTTTTCCACAAAAAATCAGAGATGGCGTCTCTTCTGTATTGAATCTCTCAACTACTTAACAGCATATTGAATGATAATTCTATTAGTTTGCATTTTGTTTTCTGAATCTTGAAACAGAGTATATATTTTTCTAAATATCTGATTAATTCAGCAGTGTGTGCTATATGACCACAAGGAGAAAAAACACTGTATCTTGCCTTAAGGATTAAGTGTAGATCTAAGGCTTCTCATCACAGCGCAAAGATAAAAGAAGAAAAGATTGCACAGTGTGTGCTTATGACTGTATCTGTGAAGGAGAAGTATAAATTCAAGTGCCATTTGGGAAGTGGGGTTTCCATAATGAATTAGATAAGGGACTGCGAGGGTACGCAGCAAGCCTTTTATTGCTATCTGTAAATCTTCCATAAAGTCAGAGACAAACCTGTGTGTGAGTGTACCATGTTGCACTATTAGTATGAGGCTGACAGATGATATATCAGAGTAGTAGCCACACACTGCTAAAAAGACTAGTCTCGCCTCTCATGAAAGTGCATTATTAGTTTACCTTGTTTCCACTTCATTAGTCAGTCTTTATTAATCACTTTGCTTTAAGTGTCTCATTTTAACATACTTTTAACATTGACACGAGATGTGATGGAATGCATACATATCCTCAACTCATTCAGCTAAAACCGTTAAATGACGCCGGAGAGACATTTCACACGATACTAAAAGGAACGCTGGCAATATCTTCCAAACGCGACCGGTCAATTCTCAAAAACAGGGGCAGATTTTAAGACCTACTGTGAGAAGCTATCATTTTGATCTTTGTAATGTATTAATTCATGTAAAAAAATAATGATATCTTGTTTTAAATCTTACGCATACTCGTGTGAGGCAGTAGTGTGTGCGTCACTGAGCACCCGGTCCTCTTGGCCACAACTTCAAAGACTGTGCATGCATAATTAGGCCTGTCACGATAACAAATTTTGCTGGACGATTAATTGTCTCAGAAATTATTGCGATAAGCGATTATATTGTCGTTCTGAGATCATTTGCATCGATTACAATGATCATGCAGGTACACCTTTTCAAAGAGAAATAAACTTTTATTTTTAACGAATATTTAACGCTAGAACACAATAAATTTACAAACAACCAAAAACAATAAATAAAATACTCAGTCTCTTAACAAAAAATGACCAGGAATAAAACTGCCAGGACCTTTGTAAAGAAAATATGAAACAGATGCCTCAAATGTCAATAATTTCTCAGACTTTATGGCAGATTACGAGAAAGAAATACCAACATGTTGACTTTGTGTGGTTTAAGACAGGATCTCTCAGGAGTAGTCCCACCTCCCCACACACCAGGCAAATGACAAGTGACTGACATGTGGGTTCACCAATGGGGCGTACAGAAGTCCTGCTGCGGTAGCGCCCACCGGAAGTAGCGGGGCGGGCTTTGATGCTAACAGCTAAGCTAGCGGGTTTTTTGTGTAAAGTTCTACTCCAAGAATGCAAGTCTGCAGCATCTCTGTGTTCAGAGACCTTCTAGAGACTTTATATAACAGCAGTATGTGTTCACGGAGGTGCGCCATAAGTTTATTTTATTGGTATGGTACGGTACTTCTGCATCGGCGAACACGCTAACGCTAGCTGCGCTAGTATAGTCACTAATCAAGCCTGAATGAGAACTCAGCTGCCGGCATATGTTCACAACTACTGTGTCCCCCATTGTCAATCCTGGTTAAGTCCTGGTTTAGGTCCTGTTTTGGCTGTATTTTGTATTTTTGAGTAATTTCCGTCTGCTTGCTAGACCGCTAATGTTCCCGTGACCACTTTGCGGCTCTCTGACCCGAGAGAGAGGGGGAGAGAGACGGGGGAAACAAACAAGCATGCAAATGGATTTATCGCGGCCAGAAAAGTTATTGAGCAAATTTTATTTATCGTGCGATTAATTGATTTATTGACTATCGCGACAGGCCTATGCATAATCTACATGTGGTATGGATAATTCATCTTCTTCTGCTGCCTTCAGGTGGAATAGCATTGAAATGTCAACTGTTAATCACACAGGTCACTGTTCTTGACCCAGTTGGACTTGGTTATGTCTCCCCAGATTCATGACTGTGTTGTTAAATAATCCCGGCACATAAATAGGCAGTAACGGTGTGGTAAATATTAAACACATGATCAATTGAATACATAAAGAAGACATATCTGCCTGTATACTGCAGTGGATGAAATATGCATGTTGTATGGACTTCATTAATTGACTGGAATGTTTTTGAGTGTATCTGTTTATAAAAAAAAAATTGGTGCTACATTTTTCTGGATCAAGTTATAATAATGCAGTTACAGCTTCAATGTGTAATGCTTCTTTTGATGATTACAATTACTATTTCTTCAATTTATAATACAAATCACCTCAATTTTATAGTGCAGCCATTCCCAAACTCAGTAACACCGAGGCCCCCTTAAAAATCTGACGGGTCTGCGTGGCCCCCCAAAATAATAACCAAGAAGACAACATTAAGAATAGGCTCTTCTGGTTATTTTATTTTGGGGAAATAGCCTCTGCTACAAACATTGTAATACAAAAATGATTACAGTGGATTATTCAAGTCAAATAATGAACACAAATATTTTAATATTACAAACAAAACATTATAAATTTAACATTAAATAATTATATTATTATTATTTTTTTTTTTATGACCTCCCGCGGCCCCCCTGCAGTACCCTCGCGGCCCACCAGGGGGCCGCGGACCCCACTTTGGGAGACACTGTTATAGTGCATTCTATAAGCAGGACTATTTGCAAAGTGAGTCGGGTAATAAGTGAGAAAAAAAAAAGATGTATAAACCACCCCATTAGATCTCACTCGCTCGCCGACAATAGAACAAGTAAAATGAAATAAGAGCAGAGACATAAAAAATATGCAATACCAATAAAAATAATACGTATAAATATAAACACGAAGGACCATACAATTAATACCTCGTTAAAAGCTAGGGAATAAAAGTGAGTTGAAAGACAAGACGTAAAACACTTCAATGAAGGTTTATAAAGGGTAAACAATTCGCTAGTCCTATTCTGCCACTAGAGGGAGATGTAGAGTTGTTTTTTCAAGTTTGAGGATTACCGGCTGCAAACATTGCCACACAATTAAATTGCAGAAACTATTTTAGGAGCAATACTCTGCTCTGAAACCTGCACTGAGCATGATGTCATAGTGGTACAATGACATCATACTATTACAGAACTGTAGCAGGACCTTTAGTCAAAAGGGACAGAGTTACATCTAAATGCCAAAAGTATCTGATATTAGCATGAATGGATCTTAAAACAACTCTTGATGAGGGAACAAGGTGGTAAAAGCTACAAAAAGGTCGGTTTTGTACAATATGTCTCCTCTATTATATTATGAATGGAACGCACACACTTAACGCGTTGAAGGATGTGTACCATGTGTGATGCAAAAGCTCATTAGAGCACATGTTCCTGTGGAAAGCCAGCGGGGACGGAGGCTTTGATGGAAGCAGGTTTCATATCTGACCTTGCGGCCGTCTGTGCAGTTGATTGGATCAGTTTAGTGTGTGTGTGTGTGTGTGTGTGTGTGTGTGTGTGTGTGTTACTGACCGTTTTTGTCCTTCTGCCCATTTGTTCTCAGGTTAACGGGGTTCCAGCTGCCTGCCCCCATAGTGAGCACGGGATCTAGACTCACGCTATGGCTGCTGTCGGACTATGCGGTTAGCGGCCAGGGCTTTAAGGCAGTCTACGAAGGTAAGCAGTCCCTGATGCTTATTGTATGACCTTTTATAGGTGTGCCTAGATGCCTGTCTGAAATTTGATTGGTGAACTTAAAGCGGTTCAGTTTTCAAGGTATGAAGATCATGTAAGATCTGAACACTTGGTAAAGTTTTTTGCCTTATAACTGCACTTTATGAAAAGATATGTTTAGTTTTACAGTGCGTTTCTGTTTCCAAATTTGTATGAATTAGGAAAGTGCCTATAATTCTCATACGGTCTGCCACCTTTGGCATGCAGGTTTCATCATAACCTTTGATCTCAGCAAGAATTTAACATAGGTAGTAGCTGCTTAATAAATGATGATCAATACATTATGTGTACAATATATATGTTAGAGTAGAGATTACTCTAAATAATACGAAAATATTGTTAACTTTGTCAGAATAAACAAAGGACACAGGGTTCACAAGTAGTTGCATATTGCTAATACAAAACCTTTATCAAGACACAAAAAGAAGTGCTCGTATAAATATGCTTGAACAGCGTTAGAACTTTGGATTTTTAAAAAACATTTTCTCTAACTACATATAAAGCTGGGGTAATTTACGTTCAAACCACAAAACTTTAACTATATCATTCAATCCATCTAGTAGTTTTCTCATTCATTTATTTTTGTCCATTGTAATAATGTTACAGAGGACCAAAAAACATGAATGAGAAAACTTGTTCTTATTCTTTTTCAGAAAGCTATGCAAACATATGCTAAATATCTTTTTATGTTTTCTAATAAGATGATTTGTTCTCAACATTTTACTTTTACAAGAATCTTTTCATTGGGACATACAACATCTATTTTTTAAGATTTTTTTTGGCTACTGCATCTTTAAACTTCCTCAGGAATCACACTAGTTTATGTGACAAAGCTTATCATTGACCAGAAAAACACCTTGATGCGGGATGCACCTAATTTTTAGCATCCGGTCCATTCCTGGTTTCTGGTTTTATAAAAAAAGAAAAAAAAGAAAGAGAAATTCACCCTGAAGTTCTGATCACCTCATTGGCGGACTGCCTCGGAGACCTTTGTCATAGTGACGTAAAATGCTTTATGGCCCGTGGAAGAATGATATTAATGGCGGCGTCCTCGGGCTCATACGAGAGGGGAGTGGGAGCCCTCGGGAGGTAATGGAAATACAAGCAAACGGCTAATTAGGCTAATTACCTGACAGGGCTTTCTCAGTCTTTTTGAGAGATTGTGAATGTTGGAGATGTGCCTCGCTGGAGACACATAAAATGGCCCGCGAGGTTTAGGACCACACACCATGACTAGATAAAAACAAGACAATGAGCAATGAGACTGTTTTGGGCGCTCCACAGGGAAGCAGCAGGTCCATTATGTTTGCTGTTGTCACAAGTGGGAACAACACTGTCAGATGGTTGAGAACCGGATCCTATGTAATTAACAAAAATCAAATGCCATTCAAAGTCCCCTGAGCTTTGAAGCACTGACTAATATTAGCTGCAGCATATCGTAACCATGTAGCATGTAGTCTTAAAATTCTAATGAGCAATATTACTTTTAGGATCCAATTAGTCACTTAAACACATGTATCCCAATGTTGAATTTCACCAAGTATTTTAAAGTTTATTCTGTTGTTGTTCCAGTCCTTACTGTGATAACATGAAGGGAAGGCATCAAACAAAAGCCAATATGTGAAGTAAAACTATATCAGGATGTTGTCTTTGTTTGAATATAGAAATAACATAGTATTTCATTTTCACCGCATGTTGACTTATCACAGAATGGAGAAAAACAAACTAATAATCTATGGGGGCTATACCCACTTTGGTGTATTGACTGTATGGCAGATTGAATGTATTACCAGAGCACCATTTGTTGTATTATAAATCAATCTGGCTGTTTGAGTAATATCAATCCTATGGGCTGCCCTTAGCACCACAGAGAGCTCCAGCGAGTGCAATCCCAGTAATTACCTGTCACCTCACTCACGTGGCGCTGGAAACACCCCCAGCTTTGACCTCTGCCATGGGCACAGGCGATATGCATCTGGCCCCTTGGTTAGAATGGATCCTAATTGAAAAGAGAGGTAAACAGAAGGTGCTGAATAGAATGTGGAGAATTTTCAGCTAATAATTTAAAAGGCCCAAGGTGAAATAGATCGATGTATGGTGTGTGGATAGGACTGACAATTCTCAGGAGTGCTTAGTTGTAGTTTCACTTATACTTCACAATTGATTCAATTTTAAAATGCATAAGGAATTTAATGTTATTTTCAAAAAGTCACAAAATACCAGGTTTGATTTAGGGATATCAGGGATCGTTCCTTCAACTTATTGTTAGTACCACAACATGTGAAATGTCCACGGATGTATGGCTTCAATTGTTTTTGATCTGCCTCTCTCCTTTTAGGAAGGTAAATATTTTCTAAGGCCTTCATGAGTTGTGACAGCAGAATGCTTCTTTTCCCATATTGAACAGCCAACTCAGTTTCATCTTTTACTAATATAATGGAGTCCAAAACCGTTGCTCTGTTTTATTATTTTCTTTTTGAGTTATTTCTTTGAACTACAGTTACAATTTCCTTGTGGCTCATATGAGTTCTTTGACTGTTCTGCCTCTGAAGTGCTAGGCTTCCTGCCACAAAGGCTGCAGATAATGATCCGCAGCCCTCGGCGAGACCTGTTCTCTTCACTTACACATTCAAATTAGCGCTGGGCTTGGAATCAACACATGGATAAACTCGCTTACACAAAAAAAAAACACATTCTGGACAGCCTCCAATGTATACATTTTTTTCAACACTGTTAATGAAGGGGAATTGTTATTTGCCAAAGATATGCATGTGTGAAAACAAATCTGGCTGAAGATTTATTGTTTTAATCTTGTTCAATTACTCCTCTGCCGGTTCTATAGATCATCATGAGAGGTTCAGTGTTTTTCTGACGACTTAAATGAAAATGGAAATTAGATAATAAACGTTGGCTAGTTAAGTAGGGGGAAAAGCTCATCTATAGCCTAAGTCATTTAAAGGTACAGTAGATAAGTTATCCAAACTTACTAATCAACAATAGATATTTCCAGATTATCAAACGCTAGTTATTGAAAAAGAGAAAACATCTCAAACTCCCTTTGCTTTATGTTTTGGAGAATTTTCCAGATGGTCCAAGCTAGTTTGACATCCAAGCTAGTTTTTCCTTCTAGATAGTCCTCCATCCACCTTCCCATCAACGCTGTCCCTGCTGAAGAAAATCAGAGTGATGAGCCGTGTTAGTTTTCCACCACACATAACATGTCGCATTGGCCACTCGCCCATAAAGACCAGATTTCTCCATATTTCCCCATGTCCCCATTTGTAGCTCCTCCAAAGTTTCTGCTTGCCTTATGAGCTGTTTGTTTGTGTAGATGACAGGTTTTTGCAGTTGTGTGTGTCATACTATTTCCATTTCTGGATGATGGATAAAAGAGTGCTCTGTGGGATGTCCAAAGTTGTGTGTAACCTGACAATGTTTTAAACTTCACCCCAAATTCCCTGCTTCACCTGCACTGGTGGGTTCCTTGTATTTCATGATGCTGTTTAATGACCAATGTCCTCCTCTTATCTAACCTCTGACGCCATCACATATTAGCTGAAAATATACTGAGATTAAATCAGTGTCTACACTTAATGGTGTTCTTTCGCAACAAATAAAAATAAAAACGTTCTGTTTGTGGTTGGAACACAACAAAATATGCCTCTGTATATAGAAAATAGTATACCATACTTTGGAACATTCCAGGCATAACAAAGAATTATTAAGGCAGTTTGATATATAACATATATTCAATAACTGCCTAATATAACTTGTTCTTTATATACATAATCAATAATCATCAATCCTTTCATGTAGAAACCTGCTATTTGGCATTATATAACAACCCCAAAGTCTTTTAAGCAGAGTGCCACTTTTAACAGGCTAAATATTAACATATTTTACTATACAGGTGAAGCAACATTTTAGGAGCTTTCTTTTATAAGCATTGAGCACAGCGTCCACTATTTTGCTGCCCAGACCCATATCCCCCATATTAAATATCTGTTTCAGCCGCTGCAATAAGCCTAAGTGCTGCGCAGTCCATCTTCCCAACACCCTGTTTAATGGTCAAGAATGCAAAGGAATCTCTTCTTGCCTGTCGCCATGGTAACCAGCAGACTCCATTTCACTCATCCCTTAATGTTTGTTTCTTTCAAACTCATTTCTGATTTTAAATTCAGTAATTTTATTGTGTTGTTATTATGTATTAGTCATATTGCTTTTAGTATTTATTTTGTATTTTAACACAGTCACGAAGCACATAAGTTATTAGGCTAAAGGCTAATCACAAGTATTGACACAAACTAATTTTGAATATTCAAATTTTACACCCCTAATCATTGCTCATTTAACTGCTGGGAACACATTCTGAAGCCATACATTTCACTTTTCTAAAGCCTAGTTTCTTTTTTTAATGTATACACAATAATTGTTCTTTAGTGAATAGTGTCTCCTTATGCTTATCATATGCCCACTTCTCATCGTCCACCAGCAGGGTCATTGTGTCCTGAGCACAATGATGAGTGCAATGCCAAAACATAACACTTATCCAAAGGTGTTCATTTATATCATGTCTGAATTTAAGCATAATTCCAATGCAATCTGCTCCAGCTCAAAGCACATCTTGTCTTTAATTCTGTTATTGTTACATTTTATTTGCTTCTGAGCCATTTGATTTTTTTCTTCTCAATCTGATAAATAATATACCACTGCAATAATTCCACAGTCATAAGTTGCCAACTTTCTCCTCTGCTTTCCTCATACTTGCATAGTCAATGTACTTTCCAACTGGGTCACATCAAGAAAAAAAAACAAAAAAAAAACATCCGTAGCCAACTTTGCCGCCTGCCTCTTCAGCATTAAGCCACTGCAGATGTCAGAAATAAAACATGCATGCATTATCTTATTTCATTTAGCATATATTCATTTATGAATATAAATCT